AAAAAATAGACATTTTCTTTTTTTTTAAACTGACATTTTATATCCCTAAAATGAATATATTGAAGTATCTTTATCCCTAATTAGACAAAATATATGTTTAAATAAATACATTGAGTGTTTCTAAGTGTTTTAAACTATTGTCAAGTATGTATTTGTAGGTAATTCATTAATAATAAAAATAAACCCGTACTGTGTTTTTTTTGGGAGAAATATCGGATTCTTTTGTTTAAGGTAGTTGACTCTTGATGAATTTCAACATAATTATAATTAAATACCATTTCATTACTGTACCAGACTATCTAAGTAAAAAAGTATATTTACCCATTATTGCCGACATGTCTAGCACAGTGAAAAATGACATTGACTTGCAGACAAGAGGTCTCAGATTTGAATCCCCATAGCATCATTTATGTGTGTATGTGTGAGAAATCTCCATCGCCTCTAGTTTACACTATTGCTAAGTAAGTATATATAAAGATTGACTGCAGGGAACAAAGAAAAAACCGTATTGAACGACTTCTTCATCTTGATTCTTTTCATAAACATATAGCAACAACTAAATATATAATATGTACCTTAAAAGCCTAAAAATAAGGGCCTGATCGAGAACCTTAATTGACTAATCCACGGCGCCAAAGGGACTTTGCTTGTGAACGCAAAGAGAAAAGCATTCGTGTTCGCTTTGAGACTACATATGATTCAAAGGGATTTGGTGTACTTCAAATTTAGTAGAAATAAAATATATTACATATTAGAATACTGTTTTCTTGACAGGTAGTTAGCACTAAGCCTGTTCAGAATTATTTATGCCTCGAATGCTAAGCACGGTTCACAACACAATCCTCTTCAAGGCATTGCTGCTTCCTGTGCTACATTAAGCAAGTTTCAGAGAGTTTCAAAGCCTTGTGAGGTCTGGATAACCTCTATAGGGGCCACAACTTGTGGTTCCTCTCCAATGCAATCGCTCTTTCTTAACTAGTTTAATTGTCAACCACAACTTGTGGTTCCTGCTGCATGATGTATCATATTAATTCTCAGTATAGTTGGTTCTCGTTTGAAAGATATGAATAGTCTAATAGTATTTCCACCCATTTGTCATGGCAAAAGGCAAAAGGAGGCAATAGCTATTAGTGTTTAGGGCTATTCTTATTTTCCACCCATTGTTATGGCAATTCAAGGGCAATTAGTATTCACATGGGATTAATTTTATTTATATGTATGAGATTAATAATTAAAAAATTGCTAGGTATGTATAATAAAAAAAAAAGGGGGTTTCACTAAAACACCAAAAATGGGGGCTGAAATTATAAAAAAATCCAACACCCAAAACACTTTATAAACATACCCAAAACCCATCATTACACACACTTAAAACCCATTTATAAACACACCCAAAAAATATACAATTGTTGATTTTGGGGTTGATTTTGGGTGTGTTTCTATGTTTAAATAATGTTTGAGTTTTTTTTTTTTATAAATACATGTTTAGGATTGGGTTTATTTATAAATTTGTATAAAAAATATTCTAAATCTTTTGGTAATTTTTCATAAATTTTTTTTTTTGTTTTATATAAATTTTTTTATTGCTGATGTCATCACTGACATCACAGTTCAGGATGTTCTTGCCTTCGGGCTTGCCAAGGCTTGGTGAAGCCCACGCCTTGCATGACCTGTTTTGTACTGCTAGAGTCGTATGCTCTAAGGAGTATCTCTTAGCTTACTGATCCTCCTCAAACCTGTCTTCTCTATTCTTATGTTTTCTCCTTACAATATTGGAAGAGGAATCTTGCTCTCTCTCTCTCTTTCTCTCTCTCCCTTTTTTACACTCGGCAGTTGGCCCTATTTGTGGAGACTCTTCATTCTCTCAGAGCATTCACAATCAGGCTCCCTATTTCTTAGATAAAATTTAGCTAAAAACACAAAAAAGCTATTTTAGGAGCTCTTTAAAAAAATTCAACTCCAACCATACTCCCTAATTTGGAGAGTAATAAATGTTTTACTTCTTTTTGTCATAATACTTTACTTCTTTTTAAATGTAATTCTTGATTTGCAATAAAATGTTCATATTCAAACTTCTTTTTGTTCATATTAATTCTTGATTTGAGATAAAGAGATTCATTCCCAACTTCAATTAGATCTTATTGAACACACTTGTGGAAACTACATGCGGGAGAATAGGAAAGTAGTAATTTGAATTTATATTATTACTATGTGATTTTAATATTTTATGGTTTTTGTGTTTTAACAGTGTTTGTGTTTTGCAAAATACCTACAGGGAAAAGAACTATAAAACTTGTATTAAAAAAAGGTGTTTATTGTGCTGCAAAATGTCTACAGTGAAAATAATCGAAAACCAAATAAGGGTGTTTGTGTGTTTTGCAAAAATTTGCTTGTGCTTTGCAAAACACCTAAAGCAAAAAAAACAAAACAAAACAAACAAAAAAGGTGTTCTGCAAAATATTATAACGAAGCAATGATAAAATTGTTAAAAAAATATATGCAACGTTGAAAGGTGATTAAAAATATAAAATGCAAAAAAAAGAAGATAAAATTAAAGATATCATTAAATAAATATTTAAAATAATAATAATAATATTAACTAATGAGGTGATTTAAAGAACTCATTATGATGCTCTTACAAATACATTCCCACGCGTCTCTTACCAACTCTCATTTAGTGGAGTAGTAGGATATTTTCTCCTTCCCGAGTTGTTCACTTGACGACACTTTACATAGAAAAGGTGGAGGTTTTATTTTAGCCAACCACCACGCATGGACTTTACAATTAAGTTTAATACAGAAGAGGACTCAAGTCCATACACAATATGAGTCCCATGCACAGAAACGAGCCAACGACTTGAGCATTTAAAGAAGTCTACAAAAGTAAGTCTACTAAATAGTATTTGTTTATTGTACCGCGTGTGGTTTAAGTAATAAAAAGGTAATTCAGTCTTTAAAAACCATTTAAAGATTTAAAGATTTTTTTAACCGACGGAGGAGATGAGATTAGGAGCTGTAATCATCTCTAACATTGGAAAGAGAATCAAACCATACCAAAAGCTGGTTGCCAATTTGAAGACTTGTTCATCTTTGACTCCTTATATGTACACACATAGCAACGAGTGATTAAAGTTGAGCACTACATCCCTGTGAGACTCGATAAACTCAAATAGAGCTCATTCAATTTGCGAAGACCCATGACGAGCTTTAAAATGAAGCTCGTTCCATTTGTGCTCCATCTATTGTAAATTAGCTTTGAGTTTTTCTTAAACTTTAAAACAAAAGTTACATCGTTCAACTTGAATATACACTCAATTTCTCACGACTTCTTCAACGTTTTTAGCAGCACATGGTGGCTGCGCGCTTGGCCCCAAAAACAAAAAAAATCCTTTATATTATACTTTAGCGTGTTGCATATTATCACAAATGTATGTGTGGCAGAGCTGGCTTTGTAGCTCATATCCCTTAATAGAAGGGTCTGTGTTCGAGTCTCATTGAAGTCATTCTACCCAATGTGAATGATTTTTGGATAGTAAGGTTTGTTGTTGTCATTACATGTTTATTGATGATGACTTTTAGTTATATGTATTTTTGTATTAGATTACGTGAGGCCCTAATTTAAGCTTTGCATAAGGTCCTCAAAATCTCAAGGACGGCCCTGATGAGACAATATATTTGTTTAAATAAATATACTGAGTGTTTCTAAGTGTTTTAAAATATTGTAAAGTATGTATTTGTAGGTAATTGATTAATAATAAAAATAAACCAGTACAGTAATTTTTGTGTGTGGAGAAATATCGGATACTTTTGTTTAAGGTAGTTGACTCTTGATGAGTTTCGACATAATTATAATTAAATACCATTTCATTACTGTACCAGACTGTCTAAGTAAAAAAGTATATTTACCCGTTATTGCCGACGGGTCTAACACAGTGAAAAATGATATTGACTTGCAGACAAGAGGTCTCAGGTTTGAATTCCCATAGCATCATTTGTGTGTGTATGTGTGAGAAATCTCCATCGCCTCTAGTTTACACTATTGCTAAGTAAGTATATATAAAGATTGACTGCAGGGAACAAAGAAAAAACCGTATTGAACGACTTCATCTTGATTCTTTTCATAAACATATAGCAACAACTAAATATATAATATGTACCTTAAAGGCCTAAAAATAAGGGCCTGATCGAGAACCTTTATTGACTAATCCACGGCGCCAAAGGGACTTTGCTTGTGAACACAAAGAGAAGCATTCGTGTTCGCTTTGAGACTACATATGATTCAAAGGGATTTGGCGTAGTTCACATTTAGTAGAAATAAAATATATTACATATTAGAATACTGTTTTCTTGACAGGTAATTATTACCAACGGAGTCTAACACAGTAGAAAAAGACTTTGACTTGCAGACAAGTGGTCTCAAGTTCGAACCCCCATAGGATAATTTGTGTGTGTATGTGTGAGAAATCTCTCTCCCCTCTAGTTTAGACTATCTCTTGTACTAAAAAGTAAGTATATAAAGATTGTAGATATTATCAGCTTTTACTTTAGTTGGTAAAGGTAGCCTAAAGGCTAAAGCCACTTTTTCTTTCCTCTCTCTCCCTTATGTTTACTTTTTCTTCCTTTGTGCGCACTCTTTCTCTTTTTTCATCTTCTTTCTCTCTTTTCTTTCTTTTTTTCTCTTTCTCTTTCTCTCTCTCTTATAATGTTTCGACATTTGGCCACGAGGAAGTTTTGAGTCGATAGCTCAGAAAGTTCGTTTGCAAAATGTCACATCTCGTATAGTTGAACTGGATTACTTGTAATTTTAATTTTACAATAATAAAATATTTGCCTGCTTGGGCATTTGGCAATAAATTAATCTGTCAGATTTGTTGGTCCCTTCCTATAAGTGAACAAGGCTTCCATGAATAATAAATCATCCAGGGAATTGGTTATTTCGAAGACTTCGGGAAATTCGAGAGAGAGAGAGAGAGAGAGAGAGAGAGAGAGAGAAGGATACCATGGAATACATGGATCGTTTTCTGCATGACGCAGCAACAAAGGGTGATCTTAGTTTTTTGGAAAAAATTAGAAATGGTGATGTATCAATTGATCTTGTAAGTCAGAAAACGCCTAAAGACAACAATGTTCTTCACATTGCGGCTGAATTCAAGCAAATGAATTTCTTTAAAGAAGTCAAGTTTCATCATCCTCAATCTCCACGGTTTTGGGACACCAACAAGAACAACGAAACTCCTCTCCATGTTGCTGCAAGAGTAGGATGTGATGAAATAGTGGAGTTCATCATTGCTAACATGAAACCTCTTGAAGAAGTTGATTTGGAAGACGGACCAATTAATGAGGAGGAAATCACACCAGCTGCTGAGGAAACCACGCCATCTGATGAGGAAATCTTACAACCTTATGAGGAAAGCAGATCATCTGCTGAGGAAAACAGACCAGTTGATGAGGAAATCAGACCAGTTGATGAGGAAATCAGACCAGCTGATGAGGAAATAAGACCAAACAGGCCAGTTGATGAGGAAATCAGACCAGATGGTGTTAAACCTTATAAAAAACTACTCCGAATGAAAAATTCGGAAAAGGATACAGCATTGCATGTTGCTGTTCGATATCGTCGCGATGGGGTGGTGGCTCAGTTAATGAAAGCCGATCCTGAATTATGTTGTTTTACTAATAGCGCCAACGAGTCACCTTTATTCCTAGCTGTTAGAACGGGCTCTCCAAGCATTGCTCTTTATATCCTAAACGAGTCTCCCTCTGATAGATCTCCTTCTTTTCATGGGACAAATGGTGTGACAGCTTTGCATGCAGCTGTCACTCGCAGACGCCTTACCCACCAAGGTAACTTCGAGACACATCAATTAAGTTAATATGCCTTGCTATCATGTACATATTATTTGAAGGACACTTTATATGGCGGATTTTATATTGTACAACTTTGCATCTATATGTTTATTTAATGCTAGCCGTTTTAGTGGTTTTTTAGAACACCGTGTTTGCCTATTTATTTAATCACAATCAAATATTTTAGTGGTTTATAATTTGTTTAACTTATTTTAAAGATGACCTATAAATGAAGATTTAAAAAATAAATTGTTTGGATCATTAAAAATTAAAATACAAAATATGAACCTTCTATTTTGTAAGTCTTAGCTCAAGGATCATCCTTGCAAAATAATTAAACAAGTTGAAAATCATTAAGATATATCTAGTTGTGACGAAAACTGTTACACAATTGTGTGCCTAATATTGTTGGTTTGCACACCAATCTTTACTTGTTAGGGGTGTTGGTTCAATTCCCGCTTGTGCGATTTAGTGTGTTTTTTTTTTTTAAATACTTATTTTTTTGAAAAAAAACAAAAAAACAACAAAATTTCTCCATAAGTGGCACTAAGGAGTATTGAAACCATGACCAATTACCACACAATACCGCTAGCCTATGCATGTCATCATGAAAATAATTGTGTTAATTACTTTTATTGGTTTATGGCGTCAATTTACGGCAATTTTTATTTATTTATAAATATATATAGTATTTTCATATTAGATAATGTGAGAGTCCTAGTTTAGATTTCGCACATAATCCTCTAAATTGAGAGCCGATCCTGCATACTATAAGAGTCCCTCAAATAAAGTTATTTACACAATCTCTCAAGAGAGTACATATATATTTGGATTTTTACTACTCAACATTTGTAAGTTTCCAATTTTCTATGTCAACAACATGCTAGGCATCGTGGCAACTATGGTTTCCAAAAATCGTGAAATAATCAAACAAGCAGACGACATTGGGTGGACTCCCTTACACTATGCAGCATTGAGAGGTAACCTTAAAGCAACTCAACTGCTGATTGGAAAGGAGAAGTCTGCTTGTTACATCTTGGACAAACTTGGGTTGTCAGCTCTCCACATCGCCGCATATGCAGGGCACACCAAAATATTGGAAGAGTTGATTGGATGTGAGCCTGCTACTTGTGATTTGGTCAATCACAAAGGTCAAACAGCTCTGCATGCTGCAGTCGTAGGTAAACAAATAAACGTTATAAAGTACGTTCTGAAGACGCCTAAGCTTGGGAGACTTATAAATCAAGCGGATAACAATGGGAACACTCCTTTGCATCTTGCTGCCATTTGCCGAAATCATGGAATGGTAACAATCTTGTCAAAAGACACTAGGTTGGACAAAACGGCTGTCAATAAAAGATTCTTAACGGTTGCCGACATTTTGCGCGAGGACAAGATGGAACAAAAGGTATCACTAAGCTGAGCAATCTATCTTTTTAATTTTCCTTACTCAGTTAATTAGAGTTAATTCATTATCATACGTTGACTAAGACTACGGGTGTATGTTCTTTCTCTATGTTTTAGGAGATGACCAATAGTGCCGAGGTTAGGAAGTACCCGATTTGGTCCTTGACCGCTGGGGTGCCATATTTTCAACGACAAATCACTCATGAGTTTACGAAATTACAATCTCCGGAGAAGAAAGATAAGGCTGATACGCCAGCCATTACACATGGGGCCTTGAAAAAAAGACGTGATACTAAACTATTGGTAGCAACGCTCATTGCAACCGTCACATTTGCAGCGTCTATCAATGTTCCTGGAGGGTTCAAAACCGACGGAAAGCAAGCTTTAGAAGACAATGCATATTTCCAAGTGTGGGTGGTTTTTAACATGTTTTCCTTCATTCTCTCAGTTCTTGCGATATTTAATGAATGCACTCCGCTACGGGTCCTATCTACCCATTTACCCACACCTGCAAGTCTCATTCAGTTTTCAATTGGTGGGATGGGAATAGCATTTTTTGCAGCCATGCTTGCATCGTCGAAGCCAAAACTCCACAATGAAAGTCTGTTTAAATATTTGTTTGACACACCCGTTGATTTTGTGCTCGCTCTAATAGTTGTCATATTTTTTTCCGCAATAGTTTTAATCCCCTTTTATAGGTCTCTATCGCAAATAACGCGGGGGATAAGGATCCGTGAGCTCCGGAACTACGTTATTTGACCGAGCTATTAAGTCACCCGTGTTGTTTTCTTTTTGGATCCTGTGTGTGTGATATTGTGGTGTGGTGAGAATAATCATTTTCAGATATGTTGTGATAATAATGAGTTGTGAAATACAACAGCTGAACATTTGGAAAATTATAAATTTGTTTAGTAATATGAACATGAAATTACAGAGTATTTATTAAATTTTAGCGTTGAGTTGCACTTGCATTTACTGTATGACAGCTTTTTCCAATAGAGAAATTATAGAATGATAAGATATTACCACGTCAGTTAGTAATACTTCTATTTAAAATATGACATGTGGTACATTTTCAAACAATTCACACTTTATTTTACAGCTGGTATTGAAACCTAATTTTTACCCTTTAAAATAAAATTAAGAAAAGAAAAAAGGGAGAAAACAAGAGACGAGAAATCGCCTACCTCACCCCCTTCCTATCTAATCATAGTCATATTTGCTTCTCAACCTTTCGGTGGCTACCCCAAGACCCATTACAGATTGCCATAAGATGCGAAAAAGGTTGTAATGGGAGTTGGGTGTATCACAAACATCCTGCAAATTGACCCGCATGAAATTGATATAGAAAAGGATGATTGTGGGTACATAGCATGTTGGTTCTCGGTTGTGGATCTAATAAGCCCCAACAAATATTAAGATTAGATAATTATTTAATTGATTAACAATGATGATGAAGTTTCCTGGTTGCAACAATTGATTGGGCTATGAGGTTTGACTTACTTGTGACTCATGATTGTTGATGGTAGGCAGAGGAAGAAGAAGGCCGAGGGATGGCGTTGGGGGTGGCGTTCGGCTATGCGTTGGGTTGGGTTGTTGGGATATTTTCTTTTCTTTTTTTTTCAAGGTTTTTATTTTTCTAATTTTATTTCAATGAATGTCTTTTGATGAACAAATTTGGTGACTAACTAGCATTATTCTCTGACCGTGTTTCATGGTTTTACTTCTATGTTTTAGGATCTCATTCGTATTCAGCTTGTAAAGTCACCTGGGGAAGTCCATTGGCGTGCCATTATTCCAACAACAAATTTCCCATGATTTCATTTTCATGAATTCGGAATCTCCAAAGCACAAAGATACACCAACCACATCAGCCATTATAGGAAAAAACATAGAAAAGTTGGAAGCTACTTCTTCAGAGGAGGACTCAAAAGTATTCGATACCAATCTAGTAGTAGCAATGCTTATTGCAACCGTCACATTTGCCGCAGCTTTCACCATGCCGGGAGGACTTAAAAGTGACGGCATGGCGGTGTTGTACGGAGAGGCATCATTCCAAGTGTTCTTGCTATTTGATGCCTTCTCCTTCTTCTTGTCAATCCTAGTGGTGTTTCATCATTTCATGGTGGCAACTGTGTCAGGTGTTCTTGTAGCTGCACCTTCAATTCTCATTCAGTATTCAATTGGAGGAATGCTCGTAGCTTTTGCTTCTGGCATGCTTCTAGTGCTGCCCAAACACAGTCCGGTGGGCATTTTGGTGTGCTTAATTTGTGGGTATATATGCTTGTCTATAGTCTTTAAGCTTAGAATTGTGCCTGTACGACTAGCCGCAAATGGTTCATGACCCGCGCAATTTGATGGGGCTTAGTTTTGATAGGCCTTTTTGTTTAGGGCCTTGGATCCATCTGGCTTTGGTTCCGTGCAGTTTTCAAAAGTGCCGCTCACAAGAAGATCATATCTTTTTTTAGCGTTATCTTTAATCGAATTGGCTCAAAAGTAGCGGTGTGTATATATTGATTAAAAAAAGTAGTGGAATTTGATTTCAGAAATAGCGTTACCATTCTTTGTGGTAGTTCTTAGATAAATAAACACATATTCACACATATGCCAATTGGTTTTCTTTTTTATTTTATATTTTATTTTTAAAATTAAGAAAAGATAACATGGGTAATTGTTATTTTATATAGATAATGATCTTGGACAAAAAAAAGAATAGTTCGGTCAAAACCACTGGGAATTTAGATTATCATTATTTAATAAGATGAGTTTTTTATTTAATTGTTATACATTTCGATAGAAGTACCGATGTTCTATTCAAAGAAAAACAAGTGGTTCTTCAAAACCAAGTCCAAGAATATTCCAAAGAAAGTCAAGGTTCTTCAAGTGGCTCTTCAAAACCAAGTCCACGAATATGAAGAGGAACTTAGCAAGTGTTAAATTTTGGTAATTATTTGATTAGGTGCCAATTAAATTTATAAATTTATTCCAAAATCAAAAAATTCCGAAAAGAATTGGATTGGAATTGGAATGTAACTAAAAGTTCTAAAAATTCATAATCTCAAAATACATTAGGGTTTCAAGCTTAGACTACATGACTAACTCCATGTTCAACTAAATATGAATTAATGACCAAATAAACATAGATGAGGTTTTTTTTTTTTCTTTCATAAATATTATAACAACATCTAAGTACTAGCATATTAATAGTTTTCCGGGCTTTGGGTATGTGTTTTCAATTTTGAGCCAATTTTAACATTTCAAATAGTTGGGCATGTTTAAAATTTTGCACTTTCCAATTGAAACATGTAAGTTCCGAAATTTTTTTCCATATCGAAATTGATGTAATTCCAAAAATTTCCAAAATGGAATTGGAAGATAATCTTCATTCCGAAACTTTTCGAATTGGAATTGGAATCTTCTAATTTTGAAATGATGCATCCAAAAACCAAACCGAGTTTGTATACTACGTTGCTGGTTTTGGTGTAATTAACTTAATTACAAAAATCTATTTGTTGGCAACGGGTTCCCACCACAGTGGTGGTGGATTCCCCCTCCCCCCCCCATTGCACCCAGGATTGAACCCCAGTGAAGTTTCTTTCCTCCAATGTAACAAAAAAAAATCTATTTGTTTATTGTTCCATGAGGTTTAAGTCTTTAATGACAAGTATACTAATCAAGAATGGGTGTTTAAATTATTCTAATTCCTACTTCTCCTGTGTTTATTAACGCATAATTGAAGTGAGTTCATATTCTCACTTTCCTTGCATTAAAATCCATAATCAAATACACTCAAAATAAAAAATTATGTGAGTTCCACGTTAAAATCTGTAATCAATTACACTCAAAATCATGCATGGATCCGTTAGGGAAAGTATGGGATTAACTAGGGGAGTAGTTGATCCAATTCCAATTCATTGATCCACAATGGACTCCTTAAACCACCTCCTTAGATAAACTTTAGGCCCCGTTTGGTTCATAGAATGAATTTGAGGGTAAATCACTTCCCATACCATTTCCCAAGGGATGGGAAATGGAGATGCATTTTTCATGGTTGGTAATGCTGGGAAAGTAACCAAAAAATACCACTTTATTTCCTTTCACATGTTTGGTTTGTATAGGAATGTAAAACAAAGTTTATTTAATTTTCCAATTATACCCATATGAAATCAAATAAAAAAAAAAAGAATGCATTTAATGCTATATTGTAAAGAATGCATTTAATAATAAGGATAATATGGTCATGAAAAATATGTATTTAATGTTGACTCATTTTTCCAAACTTTCCTACGATGAGGAAAACAAAACTCAAGGGAGGAGAAGGGCTTGACTTTCCCTTTACTTTCATATGTGCAAGGCAACGATTTCTCATGTATGGACTTACCAAAACATAGGAAAACAATTGATTTCCCATCCCCAGACCTCCTTTCCCATGAAACAAAAGGGGCCTAAGGGAGGAAATGATAAAACTCACCTCTAACTATGCTCCCTATATATCCAGCTCCTAAAATAAGGAGATCTCTAGGAGCTCCTAAAATAAGGAGATCTTTAGGAGCTCCTAAATATGAGGAGAGAGAATGAACTCCTAGTTGATCCAATTCCAATTCCTTAATCCACAATGAACTTTCTAAACTACCTCCTTAAATAAACTTTAGGGAAGAAGTGATAAAACTCACCTCCAACCATGTTCCCTATATATCTAGCTCCTAAATAAGTGGAGAGAGAATGTACTCCTAGTAGAAATATTATAGAGTAGTACTATACTACCATCTCAGTTTGTTATACTTCCATTCAAAATATGTGATGTTCATTTTTAAAAAACAATTTAAGTTTTTTTTACAGCTGGACTTAATATCCAATTATTATATTTTGAATATAAAACTAAGTTAAAAAAAAGTCACACACGGAAGAGCCACCACCCACCCCCACCCTTCGTCCTCATGGTGCCGCCTTAGGCACTGCCCACTCCCTCCAGCCTCTCTCTCTCTCTCTCTCTCTCTCTAGTCCTTCTCGCTCAATTGAACTACTTAATCATAACTCAATTCTCTTCTCACCATTTCAGTGCAGCCATCTCGCGCTCGAGCAGGCCATTCGGAGCCGATTAAGATCGGGCCCATCCAGCTTCGAGATCACGGTAGGCTTCGGGGTCTCGGGAGAACAAAAAAATAAAAATAAAAAATCATCCCTAGAAGCTAGTTGCCAATTTAAAGACTTGGTCATCTTTGAATCTCCGTACAACATGTCACGAAACCTGCATGCATGTATAGTTGACTAAATATAAAAAAGGTAAATGACACCAACTTGATATTTTTTGCAAGTGTGATATTTTTTTTATTCACAGGCAATTGGCAATAATATATTGTCAGATTTATTAAAATGGTTGACACAACGGTGGCACTGCCTACATCTACACCCCGTTAAAATGTTACATATTAGAATATTGTACATGTTGAGCAATTGGCACTGAATGTGTCATCATCGCTTCCTATTTAAGTAGACATGGAGGATCAACACTAATTAAGTCATTCACAGAGCATTAGAGAAAGTTGAGTGCAGAAAAAAAGGTTGAAATGGATCCTTCACTGTATGAGGCGGCCAGATCGGGTGATGTTGGTCTATTGAAAATAGTTAAGAAGAAGGCTACTGGATTTTTTCTTCAGAAAACGCCTAAAGGCAACAATGTCCTCCACATTGCTGCTGAATTCAAGCAAATAGCTTTCTTCATAAGTACCCCACTTGATGATCATCAATGTCGTCCACTGTTTTGGGCCGCTAACAACAAGGGCAACACTCCCCTGCATGTTGCGGCCAGAGTTGGCTCCGATGAGATCGTAGAGTTCCTTATTGAACATGCAAAGAAGCCGCCGCCCACTGGAGGAGCCGATTTGGAAAGCGGCGGCGAAGCTCATAAAGAGTTACTCGAAAGGACTAATATGGAAAAGGAGACAGCATTGCATGTTGCCCTCCGGTATGGCAACCAAAGAGTGGCCCACTTACTAATCGCAGCCAATCCTGAATTGACTTGTTTAACTAACATGGTGAACGAGTCGCCGTTGTTCTTGGCTACGTCTAAGGACTATATGCAGACTGCCAATATGATTTTAAAGCACTGTCCCGAGTCTTCTTTCCAAGGTGTCAATGGTGTCACAGCTTTGCATGCCGTGGTAACTCACAAAAGTGAATTAGCCATAAGTAAGACTAGTGACCTTATCTATATGCTTTATTTTGATATAGTATCAACTGTTGGTTGATTATGTATTTTTTAAAATATTTTCGTTTTTCGTATACTTGTCTAAGACATGAAAAAATACATATTTTCTAAAATCAAACATATAATCCACGTATGTGTATCTTCTTTATGATATTTTAATTGAAGTCCATATGTAAGCTATCTAACTATATTTTAATCTTTATTATGCATGCTAGAAACTTTGAAGCTTATGATCCGCAAAAATGGTGATGCAATTAAAGAAGCTGATGCAATTGGATGGACTCCCTTACACTACGCAGCATTAAAAGGGAACCTTGAAGCAACCAAACTACTGTTGGAGAAAGACGATGTCTCTGCTTCTTACATGTTGGACAAATCTGGAATGTCAGCTCTTCACGTGGCGGCCTTTGCAGGTCACAAAGAAGTAATGGAAAAGCTTATTAGGCGTCACCCTGATATTTGCGATTTGGTCAACCACAAAGGTCAAACGGCTCTGCATATTGCAGTTTTAGCTGGACAAGAAACAGTTATCAAATATATATTGAAGGAGCCTAATCTTGCGGGAATAATACATGAAAAAGACCAAGATGGTAACACCGCTTTGCATCTA